TATATATATATAGCTTATTTTCATCATTCGTGCGATGCTGCCGACTGCACGCCACTAACACAACTGACTCTCAAACTACCCCCCAGAACACGTCTGTGCAATAATTATGTAACAAATAATACTAGTTATTATTATAACGATGGTAATACAAATAGTAACTATAATATGAATGATACTGATATAAATAATAATATTGATGACGACAATAAGATGAATACAAGAAGACGTGATGATTATAATCCTCTACTGATGAGCCACCTGTAATCTGCGTTGAGAACGCGACCTGACCATAAATCGGAGTATGAGTATAATAGCAATGACGTTAATATCATTGGTGGCAATGGCTAACGACATAAAAGATCATTTGAATATAACCAGAGTAGTGTTGCTGACAACATTTTTCATGACTGCTGTATGGTTAGAAGGCAAGCTAAACTTAACGAAGGAAAGAGAAGGGCAGACGGAATGTGTGAAGAAAACTGGCTCTAGTCACGACGTCTCAGCAAGGCGACAGCTAATAATCGAAACTTTATAGAAGAATATATGCATGAAAATCGAATCTGTCTCCCTCACTCGAGCAGCCGAAACAACAAAAACAACGATGACAGCGCTACGATCGCACAGGCGGCGAAAGCAAATACAACATGAACCACTGCGAAATTAAAAGATCATAGAAGCGTTCACTTTTCGATCATTTGATTGTCATTTAAGAGAGCTGCGAATGATTGGTCACAGTTTGAGCGATCCGCACAACAGCTGAATATATAAGGCGTTTATATGCTATCAAAGATTCATCATTTACTATCATGCACGGTCGTTATGACGACAAGCTTTAAAAGATTCTAAATCCGTAACTAAATACGTTGATACCTATAACTGGGCAAAATAAACTGAAAAAACTGAAAAGAGACAGTAATGTATGATATACATCAACTATCAGAGTTTTGTCTGAATTACTACGGTGTTGATAATGTACTACTCTGATGCGCATTGGGTGATTCGGGCGCGAAATACGAACGGAGCGAGGCATCCACGTGACGTCAGCACTACCCAGGTTACGAACCCAAATACGGCCGATGACAGGTGAGAAGAGAAAGATCAAAATAAAAACAATCGAACGTAACGATCTTGAGCGACACCGTAAAAATATTTTGTCAAAGGTGAAATCCAACAAACGAGAAATACACGTTCCATAACCATATAAAATGATGATCCAAAATCAAAATAGTTACAAAAGTTTGCAACGACAACGGCTGCTACGGTAATAGAAGCAATGATGCAAACAGAGAGTTGCAGCAAAAACGGATCGACCCTACCGCCGCCATAAACGCTAGCTACGAGATCGATGATGAAACGATAACGACCAATCTAATCGTTGTGAGGCTGCCGGAATTTACCAGCTTAAAAAATGGCTGTGAGAAAACGTTGGCAACATTTCATTTGTCAGGCAGACAAGGAGACACGAGAATGATGCGCGTATGTAGATTTGTGCAAAAACAATGAAGGCATTTTCGAACGCAGACAAACGACAGCCGAGTGGGAACACAGCAGAGAGAGAGATAGAGAGTGTGTGTGTCGTTGGGGTCAATTTGTCCATGAGACGGCGAAAACAGTGCGCAATAGGAAATAACAGCGCAATGAAGTGAAACTTATCGAGAGCTATATGAGGTTCACGTGCCGGAGGTATACGACGGCATGGAATGATCCTCACAATAATAACAGTGGTGTCTAGGTTGTATGAAGATGGATCGGCGTATAGGCAATGACTGCAAGTTTAGTCGGCGCGGATGCTGGTGGATCATAGATGGAATTGGATTCGATCGAAGTTGGAATACGGACATGGAAGAAGACGATATCGAGCTGAGTGCAATTGAACGGAACGAAATAAACGGATAAATGAAGCCGAGCGGAGCGGGTCGCAATAAATAACGGCTGCAGGCAGCTGCACCGTGACATGGAGAACCCTGAAAGAGAAGCGGAATCAGTCGCTGAAAAAGTAAAAATGAAGCAAGAAGTAAAAGAAATAGTAACGATAAGGATCAAACAAATAACAGCAATGAAGGATAAACGAATTCAACCGAGACCCATATCAGAGTTCTGAAAGATAGATAAATACAGAAGATGGGAGCTGGTTAGCGTCGACGAACGTTGATGATCGCGTCGTTAGGTTAGAATGATGATAATTTATAACAATAGTAAGGACAATAATGATGATGATATTCCGTACCTGAAATCCCAACCCAACTTGTTCACTCCTTATTAATTTATCCGTCAAATCATTGCTATCGTTAATAGTGATAATGCAATAGACGATGCGGAAAAGACCATATGCTGTGACTACCTGCACTGTTTACCTAGTAACTTAGCACACTGCTGAACTGGCCACGTTAGTCACCGTATCTGCCACAATACTATGCCATGACATCATCACAGATCCAACACGAACTATTGCCTAGTCGAAATTAAATGATCGTTACACAAAAAATGATGTCGATGAACGCAATTGCCTAATCGTTAAGATGTCATACACCTTCTTTACAGATAGGGTCAATTTACACAGACAAACACACAAACTTTACATGCGCACACACAAATACATACATACATACTTATAGGCGTATCATGATTTATATACAGAGAAGAATATTATGATTCATTGTCGGAGGATTCTTCATCCGGACTTCTGCGCAAAGTGTAGATCCTTTGTTTGCTATCGTTTTCGATTCCAAGATACTGCTATGATCAGTTTAAGGTGAAAGACCTTTCAAGCACTGTCCTTATGTTTTTATCATTATTATTATTAATTAGTATTGTTATCGCTTCGTGTACCCCGAAACTGGCAATGAATGCAATGGTACAGGGACAAATTTTAGGGCAATAATAGGATGAAGAGCACAGCGAGGAATCAACAAAATCTTTATTATACCTGATTGATGGACTGACTGATTAATTAGAATAGTGGAAGTATGTTCGTTCATTCGAGAGCAAGATGCAAGAAATGCGTATGTTTGCGCGTGTGTGTGTGCTGCCCAGCGTATCGGAGTGCCCGGCAAGTGCAAAAACAAAATTCTGATTGTGGTTAATAATAATAATAAAAATAACAACAGATACCAAATATCTCACATCAATAAGGAACGATAAGATAGTGAAAGTGATACACGTGTTCACTTAATTCGTGACTGAATTACTGCAGATATAGTTAAAGGACAACTAGGGATGAGGGTGACGATAGTGGAATGATTATAATAGCGGTCATTGATTGGTTATTGTTGTTGAGATTAGGCAGAAAACAACAAATCGCAGTGTTTAAAGTAAACGAACCCCGTTAGTGAACCGATGACAATGAGCTGCATGAGCACGATGGGAACGGACGAGAAAAATAGAATATGAAAAAATCGCAGAAAATAAGATACAGTCATAGCAAATATATCCACGAAACGCAATACGCATATTACCATCAGGTATTGTTGTTTATTATCGCAATTCTTATCTTCACTTCCGCCATCCGCCCTTCTCAGTCCAGCATCTCTTGTTGTAACGAGGTCGGCACAACAACGGGATGCGTATCAGGCCAACCCTATATTATTAGTATTTTTAGACGCTCGCAATTGTCGCACTAGGCTTGTGTTAAAGTATGGGCGAAACAAACTGAAAATGAAACCAGTCAAATGCAAAACGACATTTATTTTTTTCTATAAGTGTTTTTAGAGGAAAAGAAACGAGCTTGTTCCCGCATCTGTATAGATTCAATTAATTCGGATTGGGGTGTTTTAGAAGTAACACGATTTCTTGTACAAGACAAAACGGATTAATGAAATGTCTACATACTTATTCTCATATATATATATATATATATATATATATATATATATATATATATCATACAGTTTACTATACATA